AGAGCGATGCATGGCAAAAAGATGTCGGTACCGCGTCGGAGTAAGTTGTTACGAAGGCCCACAACGACACTTCCACACACCTCTTCCACAGCCATTCCACAGCGCGCTGACAAGGCACCTTCCATTGCGCGATTCCGCATACCTTCCACAGCGCGCTGCCAAGGGACCTTCCATAGCGCGATTCCGCGGACCTTCCACAGCGCGCTGCCAAGGGACCTTCCATAGCGCGATTCCGCGGACCTTCCACAGCGAGCTGCCAAGGGACCTTCCATAGCGCTCTTCCACGGACCTTCCACAGCGCGCTGCCAAGGGACCTTCCATAGCGCGATTCTGCGGACCTTCCACAGCGAGCTGCCAAGGGACCTTCCATAGCGCTCTTCTGCGGACCTTCCACGGCGCACTGCCAAGGGATACACCTGCCATACACCTCTTCCACAGCCCTGACACACAGTGCTGCACCGAGGCCCTGCAACCCCCCTATTATAGCGGACAGTCCCTTATAGCGGACGACCTTTGACCTGAAGTCTTAAAATAACTTTCCACTTTTTATTTTCATCTTACATCTAAATGTGGCTTATAGAGAAATAGAATTGTGTGGCCTATTATTTATATAGCTTTCCAATCACTAAACAATCCACGCAATAATGTGGTGGAAAACAACAACGCGGCTACATGTACATACGCATGCTACTCTACTGGGCTACTCTACTCTAAGTTTTTACTATAGACTCTGTTATGATTGTTATAAATATACCAGAGATACACACACAATATGAATACTGTAACAGTGACTGTACTGTACTGTAACATTTAGAAAAAATCAGGGAATATTTGATATGTTTTCCAATAGGGGATTGCAGAGCCTCGGTGAACATTTAGTGGATGAAAGATGGAAATAAAAAGTGGAAAGTTAGTTGAAGACTTCGGGTCAAAGGTCGTCCACTATAAGGGACCGTCCGCTATAATAGGGGGGTTGCAGGGCCTCGGTGTGCTGTGTGTCAGGGCTGTTGAAGAGGTGTATGGCAGGTATATCCCTTGGCAGTGCGCTGTGGAAGGTCCGCGGAAACGCGCTATGGAAGGTGCCTTGGCAGCGCGCTGTGGAAGGGCCGCGGAATCGCGCTATCGAAGGTGCCTTGACAGCGCGCTGTGGAAGGTATGCGGAATCGCGCTATGGAAGGTCCCTTGGCAGCTTGCTGTGGAAGAGCCGCAGAATCGCGCTATGGAAGGTATTTCCCTTGGCAGCGCGCTGTACATGTGGAAGGGCCGCGGAATCGCACTATGGAAGATATATCCCTTGGCAGAGCGCTGCGGAAGGGTAGCCTGGTATCCAACCTTGTTAGCTTTAGTCCGCTACCCAAGATCCGCTGGGAGCGGATCTTGTGTAGCGGACTAAAGCTAACAAGGCTGGATACCAGGCTAGCGGGAGGGCTGTGGAAGAGGTGTGTGGAAGTGTCGTTGTGGGCCTTCGTAAAATCTGCTAAAAGAATTTCCCCCGCGGCGTGTCTTTTGTTCTGTGGTTACCTGTAATTATTCTGCGGTCCGCAGAACGAAAGCCGGTTTGGTCGGATGGGGGGGGGGGGGGAGGTTCCGAAGAACCTATAGGAAGGGGGTCGCCTGGTAGCTAATGTAAGCATCTCCAAGCAGATCGTTTGGTGGTATCAACAATATCAACCACTCAGGGCAGTATCCAGTACACCGCCGTTTTGGTGTGGAAAAAGACCAATAAAAGACCGATAAAATTAAAGCGCCTGAAAGTACGTTAGAAATAAGCTGGAGCGAAAACATCTGCTTGGAGAGTATGGTTTAACTAAAACAGGGGAGATTCAAAAATTTATAGCAAGGAGGTTGCCTATAGTTAAAATCACCAAACTTCATACGGACCTCCTTTGATTTAAGTCTTCCTTTACTCAAGTATTTTTTTTTATTCGAGTCTTCTTTAAATTAAAGTAAACTTTTTCAACACCTCGTTTGCACTGCCACATATTGTAAACTTCCATGTGGTTTGGTGCAGCAATTATGCCAATTAGGGGGGCCCGCAAGCCCTTTTCCGTAGAGCGTAATCGGACGTTTTAATTCTTCGTAGAGCGTAGACGTACCGCTCTAATATTTTTGGTAGAGCGTATTCGGCGTTATAATTGTACGTAATGCGTTGTAGCCACGTGGAATTTATCGTAAAGCGTAATCGAGAGGTTTCCGAATTCAACGTAGAGCGTTGTCGGGGACCCTCCTTGCTGGACCTTATTATAGGCCCCGGTAAAGTTGCGTGTGGGGTGGACAGACTACTGGTACTTCTGCAGCCTAGGGCTGAATTACACGAGGCTTACAATCAAACGCATGGTGGAAAGAGCTAATGTGTCGAGTTTCATCGTCGAAAAGTATCTGTTGAAAATCTGGGCAAATTCGGAGCCCGTTCAGACTCTCATGGTACGTCTAGGCAACTTGCCAGTATATACTGTAGCCATTACAAAGAGAAAATGAATCGTAAATATACTACACGGGTAGGATAAAACAAACAAGCAAACAAACATGGACAGACGAATCTTTTCCTCTTGAAACAAGTCAAAGGTTTAGTCCGATTTGTATTGACCTGGTATCATTTAGTAAATTTGTGAAGAAAAAAATTTTCGCTGCTTCCTAGGAAACTAAGTAGAGTTTATTTAAACGGATACCTGGCACACCCGTCTCGGAAACAAACAAACCAAAGTTAGGCTTTGGTATTTTATATGCCAGCCAAACTGTGGCGTTTTTGGGCACTGCCTAGCGAATTTTATACTGCCCTGCCGATTCGAAAATACTTTCTTGCAAGATTGATACTTTCTTGCCAATTTGATACTCTCCTGCTAGTTTCATACTGTCTTGTAGCCATCTAAAGATCTGCTTGGAGATTAGGTCGGTACGTAAAACGTCAACAGTGCTCAAGCACTTCGATCCTCTCTCATAAGAACTTAGCTTAGTCTTAAATAAATGATACATCACTACCCACCCTTCCTCTGTACGTAGTAGACAGTTTATACATGTATTCACAAACATTACATTCCAGGAAGCAATTGTAGCAACTAAAACTTACGTCTGTCCCGATGTGTGAATGTTGCGGCGGTCTGGGTGGTTCTCGTCTCGTTGTACGGCCGAGGTCTTCTGAGATCCCTCATCTCATTTGACTATCATGATGACCTACTTTAATATTGTAATGAGCAAAGGTAAAGGTCTCGGATCGGAGTTTTCTTCCGCATTCGTAGCAATTTGACACCCTCAGCCCGACGGGCTGTCATTTCTGTAATAAACGCAAACTTCTGGTTAAAAGGGCCGTGCTGTGCCTCTTATCAATAAACTTGATTGATATTTCGTGCGCCCAATTTATTTAGGGGTAAATAAGGCATATCAAAGCACATTTCAAGTAAGGAGTCCTTTTTTTCGTCATTTTTACCCATGTCTGCATGGAAGTAACGAATTTTCCCAGGGTAACGGCTTACTACTCGAAGAAGCTCAGTACCTAATGTTTCCGAAATTTAAGCAAGAAGCCATAGGTGACAATCCTCCGTGAAGTTCTATATTTTGCAACAAAAATAATCCGAAGCGTCAACGCCAAACCTATTGTGCAGACATTAGGCAACGGTTAATACAATGAGAGCGCGTCACAACCATAAAACATAAAAGACCTAAATCCATTACTGCTCCTAGGGCGTGTAAAGATACTTTGCTTCAAGTTCGAAATTCATTTTAATTACACACACTGTCATTGCATTCACATAAAGATCGGACTATCATGGTCGTGTCACTAGTAACAAAGACAGCCCCACCGTCTTACCGTGCCTGTTACTTATTAAGCGCAGCTGGCCATGCCAAATTCCAGCAACAGTTGCGGCCAGCACCGCGAGTGTTACTACCGCCGGTCAGATACCCGGGCAAAAACATTTCAACGACATTATAGGGATGTTTCAAAAATAAGCAATTACTCCAATATCAAAACTGCTAGGGTAAAAATAAAAAGACGTGCATCACCACGGGCATAATGGCACACCACATACCAAAGTACAAAGAAATGCTACGTACGGAACAATGTGTTTTGGCTGCGAACATCTATCGACCCCTCCGCACGTCTGCATGAAGTTCCACCCCCCCCCCCCGACGCTATTCCAAACAACGGGTTTTTCTGGACCATTCCGATTTGCCTCATAATTGTAGGGGTGCGTCTGCAATATTACATTGACCGCAAAAACAGCAACGGCAAAAATACACATTCGTGCATCAACACGGGCATGCCCGCAGACGGCGTATAAAATTGCGAACACGAAAAAACAGCTCTTCACAACACTCCGTCCGGAGGTCCTGACCTCCTTCACGGAGTAATTAGATTAAAATCAACGCAGTACGTTTACAGCCATCTTCGATGACCAAAACACACCCACAACGCATACAGAACGCACCATCCCGGCAATCAGGTGAAAAGGCCACACAACCATCCGCGCAGACTAATTACCAGGGAGTCTTCGCTGAACCACCAACATAACGCCACGTATGAAGGCAATATTCTGCTTCTCTCTCATGACTTATCAAATAAAAAAGGTGACATTTCGTAGCTACAGAGTATCCACAGAGATGACAGTTATAAGGGTTTTCTCCTACATGGGTTTTCATATGTTGGGATAAGGCCTTTAGGTCTGTCCTGTACTACAGATATGACAGTTTGGAATAAGACATGTTTGTACGCTGTCCTGAATTCACATTCTCCAAACATGTCGTTACAAGCTGACCCAATATTTTTTGCAAGATGCCTGACCATATTGCATCTATATCTGTGTGCTGCAGAATAGTCACAATGGTCACACTTGTAGGGTTTTATTTTCTCCTGTATGAGTTCTCATATGTCGGGATAAGGCCGAACTGTCTGATGTCCGCCCCCCCCCCACCCACGAGCTTTTAACCAGTATGTTTTGATAGATGTAGTAGTAATAGTAGTTGTTGTATGCCTTTATTTAAACTCGATAAGCTTGTTCGGTCAAACATATGATTGCTTTTCAACAAAGTCGAGGGTGGGGTGGGGTCACGGATTACAAATCAAGCAAGAGATAATAATGATAACTTTATTGCGCAACAATTGTACAGTGTACAAAGTACGGCATCTACTAACTTAAATAAGTGCATGTCAACTACATTTTCATAAGGCTAATCTAATACAAAAGTGGGTGGCTAGTATGAGATAGGTATCAACTTATACAATCGTTTAAGGAGTTTCTAATATCCATACAGTCTTTAATATATATCCCTATGTATAGCATGTAGGGGTTGTCACAAGTTAATATGTATTTGAATTTTCTTTCCAAGTTCATTGTGGCGAATGCTGGGAGAGAATCTGATAGTCTAGTGTATAGTGCATTGCGTACATTACTATATTTAGGACACACAATCAAAAAGTGATATTCGTCCTCAATAAGCTCTGGACAAAATGGACAAACCCTCTGGTCATTGGGAATTTTATGGAATCTAATCAAAAGATATAGTATACTAAATAAATAGTAGGTCATCACAGATGTTGGTCAAAGCAGATTCCTGTGCTTTGGAATAGTGCTGGTCACACTTGCAGGGTTTTTCTCCTGTATGGGTGTTCATATGTTGGGTGAAGTGTTTTTAGTTGTCCTGTATCCACTAGTGTGTTTTGCTAGATGTCTGTCCAAAGTGCATTTATGTGCTGCAGAATAGTCACACTGATCACACTTGAAAGGTTTTTCTCCTGTATGAGTTCTCATATGTCGAGATAATGTATATCTGTCATCTGTCCTGTACCCACACTCCTCACAAATGTAGGGTTTCTTACCAGTGTGCTTTGCTAGATGTCTGTCTAAAGTGTATTTATGTGCTGCAGAATAGTCACACTGGTCACACTTGTAGTTGTAGGGTTTTTCTCCTGTATGGATTCTCATATGCTGGGATAAGTGAGACCTGTCAGCTGTCCTGTACCCACACTCCCCACACATGTAGGGTTTCGTACCAGTGTGCTTTGCTAGATGTCTGTCCAAAGTGCATTTATGTGCTGCAGAATAGTCACACTGGTCACACTTGTAGGGTCTTTCTCCTGTATGGATTCTCATATGTCGGGATAAGTCAGACTTTTGAGCTGCCTTGTATCCACATTCCTCGCACGTATAGGGTTTCTCACCGGTGTGTTTTGCTCGATGAATGTGCAAGTGGGTTTTCCGTGCAGCAGAATAGTCACACTGGTCACACTTGTAGGGTTTTTCTCCTGTATGTGTTCTCATATGTTGGGATAAGTCAGACTTCTTAGCCGCCCTGTATCCACACTCCTCACATATGTAGGGTTTCGCTACCGGCGTTGACTTGTTGGGCTCCCGTCTGGTCTTTAACATTGATGTTTTGCTGTCGACCTGAGAAACCCCGGTGGGAGACGCGTGTCCTGTGGTTGCCATGTCCGGCTAATTTGGAAAATAGGAAAATAATTACTTGTAGAATTAGGTATTAAGAGCTGTCAATGATAAAATTATTATGTTAAATCGTCAGTATAGGTTTATAGGTCACCAGTCTGGTTTCCAGATTTGCAATGTACGCGTAATGGTTTGTTTTTTTTTTCTTTCTGACTCCCACGATCATGATAATGATCATTCTGACATACTTATTTTCACCTGAGGAAAGTCTTGTAGCTAGGGCACAAGGTCGATGACTTGGCAGGATTCAAACCTGAGACCTCTAGGTTCTGAGCCGATTAATTAATGCCCAGCCGTAATACGCTACACAAACACACATTGTGTTTCTTTACAATCCAGTTGAAAAATTCTCTATTTCGATATTATTCCACGTCCTTAAAAAAAGGAGCATGACGTACATGTACTAATAGGTATGTTTCGTTTCGCCCCCCTTCCCCTTCAATTCCACGATAATCACATCCCGAAAATGTCGTCCACAAATTATCGTCCTACTGCGGTCCATCTCCCGCGGAAATGGTTTCAGAGTGAGCGTCTCAGGTTATTTCTTACGGCATTAGAATACCTTGCAGTTCGTTTTTAAGTCTTACCTGCTTCCTATGATGGTGCTGCAGTACAATTTTCTCTTCACGTAAACAGAGCTCAGCCAGCCAATTTAATTTGTCCTTCGGTCGTCTCGTGAGGTCAGAGGTGGAATACCTCTGGCTCGAAGATGAAATTGTCTGCCTGATAACCTATGCATTACATTTGACGTCAGGTGTCACGTTACTTTCTCCTCATAATGTTAACGCTCTGCGTTTCAAACCGACCACCATACCAACGTAACACGCGTCTGAATTGTGTACCTAATATGAAAAGGAAGTTTTTAGGGAATGAATGCCAAGCCAAACTGTTTGGTTTGAATCTTGATTTCTGTGTTTTATGATCAACTCACCACCTCTGACAACATTCCATCCATAACAATGTGACACGCGTCTGAATTTGGTTCTAATCTAGTATGAAAGAGAGATTTTGAGGGAATGAATGTCAAGCCAAACTGTTTGGTCTGAATCCTGATTCATGGACTTTATGATCAACTGGGTTACCACCTGTTGCAATATTCCATCCAAAGAAAAAAAAGGCAACACAGAAGGGAACCTTATGTTCATGGTACCAAACGATTTAATTGTTTGAGCGGAAAATATCTGTAGATGCATATACAAAAAAACCCTACGAAACAAATGGAAAATTTAACTCGTATACAACATAACGTGTGCGATTTTACAACTGTAAATTACTTTCTACTGATGGAAACTTAAAGCACATCAGTGATTTTAAATGATGCAAATTAATACTATGTTCTTTTCGTTTTTTTTTTAATCGAACAGATTGCTAGTTTACATCACTAAAAAATATTGTCTGTAAGACATACAGGCACACACTTCGTCACTTCGTGAATTATTAACAGCACCGAACTAATCTGATCATAGGTTGCAGAAAGTCTGTGGCGCCCCCGTCTTTGTTGAGGGATGGTTGTAATGCCCTGCAACCTATGATCCACTGCTCACGAATTCACGTGTTATCTGCGTGGCGCCACGGAAGCGGTGGATTGCTCAGTTCTTGGCAAAGACTGGAGTTGTACAGTCAAAAATTTGGTTGAGTTCAATTCTTTTGTATTGAATATTAAAGTTTAAACTTTTTTCCTACTGTAATATATCATTGGCATCAAGATAAAGTAACGATATATACTGAGGGTAACACTGCGTATATAAATGTCACTACGAGACGGTCACAGTTCCAGAGTTGTTGCCTTCGTGTGAATTTTCATATGCTGAGTTAGGGCAGATTTATAGTCTGAAGAATAGCTACATTGGTCACATTTGTAGGGTTTTTCTCCTGTATGGGCTCGCATATGTTTGAATAAGGACGCCTTTTGAACGCTCCTATATTCACACTCCCCACACATGTAGGGTTTCTCACCAGTGTGCTTGGTGAGATGATAGTCTAAATGAGATTTCCGTGCTGCAGAATAGTCACACTGGTCACATCTGTAGGGTTTTTCTCCTGTATGGGTTCTCATATGTCGAGATAAATCAGACCTTCGAGTTGCCCTGTGTCCACATTCCCCACACATGAAAGGTTTCTCACCAGTGTGTTTTGTTAGATGTCGGTCCAAAGTAGATTTCCGGGCTGCAGAATAGTCACACTGCTCACACTTGTAGGGTTTTTCTCCTGTATGGATTTTCATATGTCGTGATAAGGTTGATCTGTCAGCTGTCCTGTACCCGCACTCCCCACAAATGTAGGGTTTCTCACCAGTGTGTTTTGATAGATGTTGCTCCAAAGAGGGTTTGTCCGCAAAAGAGTAGTCACACTGGTCACACTTGTATGGTTTTTCTCCTGTATGGGTTCTCATATGACGGCGTATGTGAGACATTTTAGCTGTGCTGTACCCACACTCCCCACACATGTAGGGGTTCTCACCAGTGTGTTTTGCTAGATGTTCGTTCAAAGAGGATTTGTGTGCTGCAGAATAGTCACACTGGTCACACTTGTAGGGTTTTTCTCCTGTATGGGTTCTCATATGTACGGATAAGGCAGAATTTTTAGCTGTCCTGTACCCACACTCACCACAAATGTAGGGTTTCTTACCGGTGTGTTTTGTTAGATGTTGGTCCAAAATGTATTTGCGTCTTGCAGAATATTCACACTGGTCACACTTGTAGGGTTTTTCTTCTGTGTGGATTACCATATGTCGGGATAAGATGTACCTCTTAGTTGCCCTGTATCCACACTTCTTACACATGTAGGGTTTCTCGCCAGTGTATTTTTCCAGGGGTTGGTCTGATGCATTTTTCCCAGGCTTTTCTCCTGTATGACTCGTCATAGTTAAGCAAGATTCTGGACTTGTCCCAAAAGTGCTCTCCTCACTCCCCAGGGTTTTCTCACCAGTTTCGTTCATTTCTGTTTGGAAGAAAAAAAAAAACATGAAAAGTAGCAAAGAGTATTTATTCCAGGAACCAGTCTATAAACCTGAAGTTCTGTGTGTAACAGCATTATTTTTCTTTTCTGTGTCTCCTCTTTGGTTCTTACCATAGTCAGTCACAAAGAATAAATTGGTTTGGATCTCCTGCTTTTAGGCTACACCAAGTAATTTTTATGAAAGACGTGCTCTGGAGACCCTAAGTCTTCAAAGAGTGCTCACTAACTCACTTACACCGCATGCAAATATGGTAACAGACCAAAATCAATGCGCTCAAGGACATCAGCCATAGAAATTACTTTCATCCACAAAAAATACTTCCATCCATAAAAAAATTACCCTATGCTTGGAATTTGCAAATATCAATGTTAGGAATCTTTTAACGGCTCAGAATTAAACTTTCATTTTAAGTTCTTGTCTTCTAGACACGTGTAAACTATCGTGAAAGTTCATCTGTATTGGTAGTTACATATCTAGGGTTAAAACCTTTGTTTCAACACAAATGTACGTATACATACACTTCGTACTTCTACTGCCCCCCTCCCCACCAAATATCAATCCAAACACAGGAAATTAGACGTCGAAGCCTGAATTCGAAGTCACAGACTGTGACTTCGAATTCAGGCTTCGACGTCTAATTTACCGCCATAAAACACCGAATAAGGCAGCATTAACGACAAGAAAGGTCTTACCTGTATGTCTGTGGTGGTTAGCGGTCTTAACAACTTCTGAAATTCCGTAAAATCGCGTCAGTTCGGAGGACACGATATCAAAACAAATGGAGGGCGTAAACCTAATTGGCGACGGGTCAAAGGTGAGAGATCACATACCTGAGGCATACTAGGCAGGGGGTCAAACCACAGATGGTTTTACGGTGGATCAACATCTCTCTTGGTGCTTACACGTCAAGAAAGTCAGAGCAAAAAATGGCAAACATTATTGCATCCATCAGGAAGTATAAAAACTACTTTCCTGGAGACTTATTAAGAACAGTGTTACAGTCACTAGTGCTATCACATCTAGATTATTGTTCGTCAATCCTCTCTTCAACAACTCAAACACAAATAGATAAGTTACAGACAATGCAAAATCGTGCAGCCAGGCTAGCAGCTAATGAATCTTTCACCACCAGCACAGACGTCTTACACTCAAGGCTTAACTGGAGAACAGTCAAAGAGAGAATGTACACTTCAACCATCTGCGCATTTCACAAGTTGACTACTGTCAGAGAACCAGCAGGTATTTATGATAGAATAAGAACCATTAATAGTTCACATCACCACAACACAAGGTTGGCACAGAAAGGAGGTTTTTCTCTACCCAAGACCAAAACCAAAGCCTTAACAAGGACTTTTCTGTACAGATGTATAAAAAGTCACAACACACTACCAAACAACATAATCATAGAAAACCAACTGAATTTTAAGACCACAATTAATGACTGGGTAGAAACACACATAGACAAGAGCTCACCCCTTGCTCAGTGGTGGTAAGATTTTGCTGTAGGCAAGCATGTATCGATTTAAATTATGTTCACCTGCCTTTGTTCCACTAAGTATTGAGTGTGATCTCTTCTTTTGTAGTCATTTAATTGAAAGGAATCACATTTTGTTGAGCGTATATTGATTTGTTATTCATATTTTTGTTATTATTTATGTCAGTTCAAATATTTGTTTACTGTTTTGGTACTTCAATTTTGTATTTATTGGAAAGTACATCAATTATTACTTTCATTTCTATACATATTATTTCTATTATTTGACCTCTGATCTCCAATTCCCTTTTTCTCTCTTTGATTGATTCTGTTTCAAGTTTGTTATAATTTCAGTATGATTTTGTATGTTTTATTTATTATTAT